ATTGCACACTGCGCATGCTGTCTATTTTAAGCCAAAGTAACCCACCAATTGAAAATCATTGTTGCACGACGCCACCCGAATTGCTCCGATTTCCATTCAGCGATCACACCTCCACCTGAGTTTAATCACCATTGACAGCTGTTTTTTGATTTATTTGTTGGTATTTTAGCAATTTAAAGTGTTCTAGTTATTCAATTTCAAGTTCAAAATGACACGATGTATCTTGAAAAATTGTATGTACTTATAATACAAGTACTACTGTTATGAATATATTCGTTTTCAGCGGTAAATATTTATTAACGTTTTGACATAAAGCGCCATGATTCTCTGGGCTGAATACTTCAGATCCGCATTAAGGGGTTTCAATAAATATTAAGCATCACAAACTCAGATTTCATATTACTTACATAAATTTACAAAAGGGTAAAATTTTGAACATTTAATTTAAATAAATAGTAAATAGGCATTATTGCTAACGAAATTTTGTATTTAAAAAGTAGTTTTATAAGAATGTTTTCTAAAGGTAGTTTTTAGCCCTTTTTGGTAGATAAATAAGAGGTAAAGAATCATAGTTGCTAGCTAAATTTTATTTTTATAAGGTATTTTTATAAGAATATTAGATGAAATACAGGATGACCTACTTAAAATTTCAAGGTTCATCTTATTTGCGGTCAAATCGAAAGTGACATTGAATTTTCAGTCTTAAAACAAAGTAATCTAGTATAAGCAAAAAAAAATACTAAAGTTACAGGAGTTAGGTCCGATTCCACCGTTGTGTTAAACGGAGATTAAAATGACAGTGTTAATGTAAAAATGTCATTTTAAACTTCGTTTAACACAACGGTGGAATCGACCCTTAGTCACGTTAATAAAATGTTACATTACAAACCCCTAAACAACTCGAACATAATTTTCGTTTACTAAAAAAATCCAAAATTTAGCAATATTTATTTATTATACAAGCGAATGCGATTTCAAAGATAACTGGTACAAAAAATCCGAATCTCTAAATTTTGGAGCTAAATGCTCAGATAAAAGCAAGCGACCGATAGGGGTTACAAAAATAATCGAGAATTCTGATATTTTTTAATGAAAATCGATTTATCCGCTGTTTTTAATAAATTATTTTTGTTTTTTTTTTAATACAATGTATTAATCGATTTTAAAGGAAATACAGAAAAAGTAGATTTATTCAAAATTATCGATTTATCGTTTAATCGGTTTTTAATTATTTGATTATTTTCGATTTTTCAAAGATATTATATGAAAATAATCGATTGAATATAATTTTACATAATCGATATTTTGGTTATTTTTTTAAAATTATCGATTTATTGGATAATCAGCTTTTTAATAATCAATTATTTTCGATAATCGAATAATCAATTTCAAAGGAAATATGAAAAAAGGATTATTAGAAAATAATAGATAATTCGTTTTATTTTTTGGAAAATCGATTTATCATAGAATCGGCTTCTTAATTAATTGGTTATTTTCGATTAGGCGATTATTTTGGAATTATTGATTATTTTTGGTATTTCAAAGATAACCGAATTATCGATTTTAAAGGAAATACAATAAAAATAGATTATTGATAATAATCGATTGATCGAAAATAATCGATTATTTAAAATAATCGATCATTCTGTTTTTTTTTTTTTTTTTGAAAATCGATTTGTCAGTTAATCGACTTTTTAATTAATCGAATATTTTTGAAATACAATAAAATAGATTATTGGTAATAATCGATTTATCATAGAATCGGCTTCTTAACTAATTGATTATTTTCGATTAGGCGATTATTTTGGAATTATCGAATATTTTCGGTATTTCAAAGATAATCGAATTAACGATTTTAAAGGAAATACAATAAAAATAGATTATTGATAATAATCGATTGATCGAAAATAATCAATTATTTAAAATAATCGATCATTCTGTTTTTTTTTAAATCGATTTATCAGTTAATCGACTTTTTAATTAATTGATTATTTTTGATTAATCGATTATTTTCGATTTTTCAAAGATTATCGAATAATCTGTTTCCATGGACGAAAAAAAAAATGGTTTATTTGAAAATAATCGATTATTTAAAATAAACGATAATTCTATTTATATTATATTTTGTAAACACTGATTTATCGGTTAATTGGCTTTTTAATTAATCGATTATTTTTGATTTTTCAAAGATAATCAAGTAGTCGATTTTAAAGGAAATGACAAAAAATATATTGTTTGAAAATAATATTGATCGAAAATAATCGATTATTTTCAATTATCGATAATTTATTTCGATAATCACTCATCCCTAGCGACCAAATGACTTTTAATAGATTTAAATTTTAAAATGTTATCTGGTTTCAGACATATGCATTTCTAGAGTTTTATGTGACTCGTCCTTTATAATAATTAATATTCTTAAAGAAAGAAGCCTTAATATACTTTTTCTGAGGTTACAATACAAAACAGCATTTTCTCATTTTGACTAATTTTTAATAATATGTAATAGCCGTAGAAAAAATATAATGTTCAACTCATAAGGGTAGATTTGAAGTATTAGCCTGCGCACATGCTATTTTTATAATACTCGTAGACAATGAGTAACATTTTTTGCTCTATTAACAATATATTCTATTTCAACATTTTACTGTAATCTCTTGCAGAAAAGTCCATAGTAAATAAACGCTAACGAAATATTCTATAAAAGGTCTTCTTTTTACATAAAATGTCGTGGCATCTGTTTGATATTAAAAAATCACGATAATTTGATTTCATAATACAAAATTCGATTAAACACCTTTTAAATAAACCTAATAGTTCATTAAGTTGCTAATAAACAAAGTCCGGTCCCTGTCACAGAGTTCGGGTCGCCGCCCAGTTCCCTCACTCCGTTAACCCTTCTTTAGAAATTGGCAACATTTGCGCAGGTTTAAAACCGGTGTATGTTATATCTCTGGTCTCTTTTATCTAAGGGAAAGCGTCTGCGATACTCTCTTACTGCTGCTCGTTACCGTTACAAAAACCGTACACAAAAATAATGTATACATATTCTTCATTACTAAATTGAAACGGCATCCTGAAATACTTATTTTCATACTATTAGAAACTTACACTTATGAACAAAAGTAATTTAGCTCAAAATACTGTACATAAAATAAATGATATTATTTGACATAAGTCTACTGGTATTATACAATTTTACATTAATCATGTTTGGATGGAATGAGTGATGGTGTAATTTGGTGCATATTGGCAGTTGACTAAATTGAGTTTTCAGCTCGTTTATAAAATACCTAGTTTTTAAACTTTTAAATTTGATTTCATCAGAGCTTTAGTTCGTTTAAGTTTTAGTTCATTTTAATTTCCAATTATAATTACCTATAGATGAACGTGGAGAGAGGAATGAATGAAGTGGTTCGAAATCATCTTTCTGTTAGTGTAAGAATTAGTAATGAATAAGCAGTACCTAGGTACCAGAAATAAGTGTATGGAAAACTTAAAACAAATTAAATTTGTATCTATTTTATGTACAAAAAGTGCAGCGACTTGAACACACATAAAATGTTTGGTGTGGAATTTATAAAAAATCCCTTAATACACAAGCACGTTATTAAAAAAAATTAATAATGTATGTAACAACATTGGAAATAAACCGAAAATAATTTACAAATCAGTGAAAAACCTGTTAAAACGTTCGCAGAGGTGTATTGACGTTCACGGTGTTCATTTTGAAAATCTAGTTTAGTTTTAATTATTTGTTTCTGTTAGCTTGTTCTGTTACTTTATCAAATAAAGTGAGTCCGGTCCTGTGTAGATGTTCAATTTCTTATTGGAAAATGAAGCAGTTAAAAATAAATAAAGATGGTACCTAATTTGTGTAGAGTTTTAAAGGTACAGAGTAAAAAAATTGATTTTAATATTGTAAATACTGATTTATAATATTGTAGTCGCCATTATAAAAATTTACTGTAAGAAAATCAAGATGGTGCCATTAAATATTATTACATTATTTTATTTATTGATTCACTTACTATTTAAATGTGCAGTAACATTTATTAAAATCCGATATACAGGGTGATATTCTAGCTAAGAAGAGCAATATAAATAAAAAGAGAGTCCAGTCCTGGAATTTTTTAAAATTGAATTATGTTTTTGATTAACCTAAGAGAGTGTAACTTTTGTACAAAATTTTATCAACATATATCCGGTCGTTCAAACAAAATGGCCGATTTTAGTTTTGGCAAAAAATCATAAAACACCCTATAGCTCCAAAACGAGTAAGATTAAAGGCTAAGTAAGGAGTTGTTTTAAACTCAGCTAAGTGTACTATCTCCCATTAAGCTGTGTCCGTTTAAATCTGAAACACCCTGTGAAAGTCCTGCTTTTCAGGGTGGTTAGCCCTATCACAATACCATGTCTAGCTATTTTAATAATTACGAATGCAGGATCTGCGCTGCATAGAATTGTTCACAAATAAGTAACGCCAATTTTGCTTTTGAACTTAGATAAAGAGATCGAGGCTTACCGTCACCACGATCGTAACACTTGTTCTTACGTACAGTGTTACTATTAAACTGCTCGTATCCATCTTAACATTTCCCCACAGAGACTGTCAAAGGAATTATCTTAAAATGGACAGAGGGTATAATACAAATGAACTGGAGATAAACCCCATTGCTAACTCATTCGTGAACGCCTCTGCCAAGATCCGGGAATGGAGTAGGAAAGATCTACATTTTTACGGGACATGCTCGTCTAGATTACCACATAGAAAGGATAGGTCTGTAACAAACTTTCGATGCCCCTGATCCGCTTTAGAAAGAACTAGGTTCCACGGGATCCAAGAAATTATTTAAATATTCTCAAATCTAGGTAGGGCTCTCTGTGACCACCATTGCCAATTATGTATATTGCATACGATTTCCTAAAAACTACTTAATCTACAATTTTTATTAAAATATAAGGATTTCTATCAATTTATTTTAAAAATCATTTCTTACCTTCACTTCCATTTTTTGTTTTTTTAAAGTTTCTATAAAGTACATTTCCAGTTTTATTGCGTAACCAACAGTTATATGTATAATTTGTGATATATAAATGAGCACTGATTTTCAAATTTGTTCTTAGAGGGAGGTACATAATTAGGTTAGTGAGATGGAAATGGAGCTTGTTGTTTATGTAAGTGATATTTAATCCACCAAAACCATTATTATAATACAATTGTCTTACGTCCATTGTTTTTAATTTAGCCTTTTTTAAACTTTTTGGCTAAAATTAATTTTTTGCATTATTTCTAAACCATGAAGTTAAGTTCTGATGATCCTATAACAAAGATGCAAAATATTTAGTTATTAAATAATTATTAGATAAACATTTTTTATAAATTTGATTAACATATTTCGTAATTTACTTATCACATTTTGTGAAGTTAACTTATCTATATTTTTGATCCTAATCCTCTTAATTTTAACATATTAGTAGCCATTCTCAAAGGTCTATTTGATTATTTGAATAGTGAACAGGTGATTTAATAGTACCTAGGTATATTTATTTAAATTCATAGTTTAGCAAAATTTGGCACAAGGACATTATTAAAGAATATTTGTTCTGCGTTCGATATTCCTCTAGAAAAACACTTATTTTTACTCCGTACATGCATCAGAAATCTTGCGAAATTAAAACTATGTCCAAATAAAAAGTAGCCCATTTCCAGAGTTTATAACTTTTAAAAAATCGTAGAAACGTGCGGTTTCTGTTGATATGTGTTATTTTGCTAAAGGTTTTGCTTTAATGACACAGAAATTATGCATTACCTATACAGGGTATTTTTTAAAAATTTCCTCGTTTAAATTCTCCCTAACCAAATTTTATCAAATGGAAACGGGCTACTTTTCATTGGGACACCCTGTATTATGTCGGGAAAGGGTTAGATATAGTCTTAGATCAGCCATACTCAACCTGCGGTCCGGCGGCCGCGCATGCGGCCCGAAACACTATTATTAAGATGGTGTTTCTTAAAACTATTGGTTTGTTCTTAAAGTCTTGAGCGAAACTCGCGAAAACATTTATTGGTCGCTGTGTTAAATTGCTAAATACCATGCTAATTTTTAAATAAACGTTTAGATCATGTGGTTACTGCAAAAATAAAATATCTTACCTTTCGGCATTTTCTATTTAGGTACACTTTCGTCTCCAAAATAGTTCAAATATTATACGGCTTAAAAAAGACAGCAAAAATACCTACATATTAATACATTAATACATATGCACAAACAAGATGAGTGGTATTTATACCGATATATAATCACAATATTGTGTTCAATTACTGATTGTATGTCTACCAAAATCAGATAAGATACATGTAACATATTTTTGCTAAATGTATTTAGTCCGATTCCCAATAGTGTTTTTGTCAAAACAAAATAAAGGCCAGTACACTTATTTTTATGAAAGTATTTGTTAAAATACTTTAACATTTTGCCCAAGCCATTTGTTTTGCCTAGAGCAGTCTCTGGCCTCTTTCGGTTGGTCCGAAATCGATAAGGTGATTACGTCACCCTTTCTTTTCAAGATACAGCTAACCTTTAAAAATCAGTAGATAATCACAAATGATGCCCGAATAGCCATGGTAAATGATTGATTGGTTAAGCTGTAAAGAGTAATTGGTCAAGCCATAACGAGTGGGAATGCTAACGTTCGTTTCCATTTTGTTTGCACGTTAAAACGACCAGAAGCACTTCTTAAATCATCGAAACACCAGCTTTTCGTATTGTTTGAAAAACTCAAGCCATACCGGCAGAGGGATGCCTAAAAGGGTAAAAAAAGACTCTAAAAAGTGCCAAATAATGTAAGTGATTTACTACACCTGATGAATTTCATCATTAATATTACAATCTACTTGTATCCAATAATGTTAAAGACATTTCCTGAACCTTTCACAGAAGTTAGTGACACAGACATTGATTATTATGACTTACACAGTGCATATGGATGCTAAGGTGCGAACTCGACACGATAAGTATCGAATATAGTGAAATTTTGTAGACAGCTAAAATAAGTGACGTTTTTCCTCTATTTTTTTTGTTCCAATCGATAGATTCGTAGTTTATATTTGTAAGGACTTGTTCTAAATTCCTTTTTTTTTTGTTTTTTCAAAGAAAAAAGGTTGAGTATGGCTGTCTTAGGCTAAAGGGACCAGACATGTAACATACACCTGCGCTAATGTTGCCAATTTGTAAAGAAAGGTTAACGGAGTGGGGGAACTGGGAGGAGACCGAAACTCTGTGGCAGGGATGGACTTAGGTTATTTTTATTATATTGAACTCTAAGGGTACAAATATAGTAAAGCGGCGAGGGTGAAGGCACGCGGCGAGGTAAGCGGGCGATTCTTATATCGTACTACATTTTGAATTGGTACGACATACTGAAGTACTAGCCGATGAGTTCCAATTTAAAATATAGTACCATATAATAGAAGCAACATTTTATGTAAAGAAAAGACAAAAGTTCTTTTAAGAATATTTCGTTACCGTTTATTTAATACGGACTTCTCTGCAAGAGACTACAATAAAATGTTAAAATAGAATATTATTAATCAAGCAAGAAATGGTAATAATTGTCTACGAGTATTATAATGGCAGCATGTGTGCAGGCGAATACTGTGAATCAAACCATTAATATTATATTTTAAAAATTAGTTAAAATAAGAAAATGCTGTTCTCTATTGTAACCTCAGAAAAGACATATTAAAGCGAAATATAATATTTTAAAATTTAAACCTAATAAAAGTCATTCAGTTGCTATCAATTATCGAATTAAATTATCGAATATTTTCAATCTATTTTTTCCATATTTCCTATAAAATCGATTATTTGATTAGCTTTGAAAGATCTAAAATAATTGATTAATGAAATATAATTGATTAATTTAAAGCCGATTAACCGATAAATCGGTGTTTCCCAAAAATAATAAACGAATTATCGAATATTTTAAATAAATTATTTTTTTTTCGTTTTTCCTTTCGTTTCGATAAAGTCTTTGAAAAATCAAAAATATTCGAATAATCAAAAATAATCGATTAATTAAAAAGCCAATCAAGCAATAAATCAGTTATTCTGAAAGAAATAACCAAATTATTGATTATTTAAAATTATCAATTATTTTTGATCAAACGATTATTTTCAAAATACTATTTTTTTCGTATTTCCTTTAAAATAAATTATTCGATTATCTTTGGAAAATCGAAAATAATCAAATATCTCATATTATTCGATTAATTATAAAGCCGATTCACCAAAAAATCGATTTTCCTAAAAAAATATTAGTTTAAAAAACAATTACAGTAAACACAAACCACAAAAAAATATAACATAACTAAAACTGGAAAAATAAAAAACTCGTATTACAACAGATTACACTAGATACTCGACTTTTTAAATTGGCAACGTTGAGTGATAATAAATCTTGTCATCATCGTATCGGAACCCTAAACAATGGCGATTTGATGTGCGCCAATTGAGGTGCGCGGATTCTTCCCGCCAAGGTGAGTTACCCTTTAGTGTTTTCAGTGCTTCGAGTGATAGAAAAGTTTAATGAAAATGGCGACTTCAGTCGGACTTTGATTTATTGAAAGTCAATAATTTTATGTTTGAAGACTGATAGATTGAAAATTATTTTATATCATTTACATGAAGATATTTTAAAAAATGGCTTTTATTTTCTCCTAAACTGACTAGTTTCTGTTTGACATATGACGTAAAAGTGTAACGCAAAGGCAAGAACACTTTAGCATCGTCGCTATTCTATCTCAATCTTATTTACGTATCAAAATGAGCTAAAAACTACCTTTAGTAAATACTCTTATAAAACTACTTTTTAAAAACAAAATTTCGCTAGCAACAATGCCTATTTACTTCTTAATTACATATGACTAAATAAACTGTTTAGCATTTTGTCCTTTCATAAATTTATGTAAGTAATATGAAATATTTTAAACGAAATACTTTATTGGTTCTAATGAAAATCTTAATTATTGTAGCAATTGAATTGTCGAATAAAATGCTACAACAATAGGAAAGAAGTCCACAATGTTTAGTATATTTTACTATTGTTTGTAGAAGTAGAAATTTATTAAAATTATCGTAATTACTACTACTAACTTCTGTAAAAATTTGTACAAATATTAATAATTATCTCTACAAAAAATAGTAATTTTCTCTACAAAAAATAGTAATACTTTACATCCCTTCTTCAAAAATATTCTATAATATTGTAGAAATTCTAAGTCATGTGAACAAAACAGAATTCTGCTATTGGCTAACGTTTTCTGACGTCGATCATAAACGGCCAGACAGCAGTAGCCGTTCGCCATGTTCACATAACAAAGCATGGTACATATACGAGTACCTATAACACATTATTATATTATAAGCACCGATGCGTTTGAGAAAATTTTAATAATAAATTCTATTGGTGGTAAGTACATTTATTATTGTTTCTGAATAATTTACCTTTAGATAACTAATTTAAATAACCTTAGTAGATTATTTTAAAAAAATAGTTGTGGCCAACGATCGAATGTTGTGCCCAACGATCGAATTTTGTGCCAAGTTCAATGATGTTTTTTGTCTTAATTGTGACTTTCTCATTTTTGTTAGTTATCTGACTTAGTCATTTAATATCCAAATCAGTGTAAAGGTGATAAATATCCCTGTTTTAAGGGTATGAACAATTCAATTGGTATTAATTTTTATTTCATATTTTTCAGGTGCAGAAAAGCCAACTGAGACTGAGGGCGCTATTATTACTGTTATTTATTACATGATATAATTAAGAATTTGTATCTTTTATATTAAAACAATAAATTGAATATTTTATTAAGGAACATTTTTTTCTAGGTTATAATTATAATAATTATGGAATACTACTACAAATTTTATTAAAAATTACTACAATTTGTATGAATTTTTACTATTTATTGTGTAAAATTTTCGTATTTATTTTCATAAAACGC